CCTCAAACCAACGCCGATAGACATACAAGGAAAAGTGAAGCGAAGTCAAACGCGGTGCGTCAGTATCTCCATCCCCTTCCTACCCCTACTGAGAACATGTCTCGTGTGAAAAGCAAATGCGAATCATGTGCCAAAGTGGTACAAAATGGTCTGGTGCGTACCATGTGTTTGAAATCCTAGCACACTACCTGCCATAGGACGGGACCGGCAAAACGGTGCACTAACCCGGCAGAGGCGCTTTGGTTATGCCAAGTATGCAATTCTATCCCATTTGTTAACTGTCTAGTTGTGCTACTGAAGTGGTGTGAAAGACTAACAGAAGCGGTCGAACAACTGGTGAGCGCCAGGGTTACACCCATGGAAGAACACGGACCTGAATTTGTAAGTGAAAATAACACCCTTAATTCCCTAGTTAGGTAGGAGAAGAGAGCCAGGTATCCCAATCTAACCCCGACGACTCAACTTCTAGCAATACCAACATTCTCTCTTCCTCCTATAAGTAAAAACTTTGCCTACAGCGCACCTGCCTCAACTGCTGTACAGTGTGTTGCACCTAGTAGTCTCTTTGCTACACAGGAGACCGTAAGCTACAGTCAACCAGCCGTAGTGAAAAACCAGGCAACGTACGCATCGGTTGCCGCCAAACAAACGCCGGAAAGAGCACCGGTAACCTTTGTGCCCGGACTAGAGCAAACTAAAGTGTCGCAGCATGGTTGGCGTCCATCAACGCCGTTCACAATTTCACAAAAATCACCGGATACTAAGCTTCCAAATCCAAAACCAGTAGCCACCAGGCGCAACAATGGTGCCTTAAATCTATTGTCCACACATGTCCCCGAATCCGAATCCAATACAATTAAGGGTAGGTTGACGGACGATCGAACTCATTGGGGCTCAAAAAAAATTATTTTTAAATAAAAAAAAAAATAATAAAAAAAAAAAAAAAAAAATAAAAAAAAAAAGAAAAAATAATTATTATTATATATAATTTTAAATAAAAAAAAAAAAAAAATTTGGTGGGGGGGGGGGGGGGGGGGGGGGGGGGGGGGGGGTATTATTAAAATAATATATATTAGTATATATTATTAAATTTTTTTGTGTGTGGGGGGGCGTTATTTTTTTTTTTTTTTTTTTTTTTTTTTTTTTTTTTTTTTTGGTTTTTTTTTGGGGGGGGGGGGGGGTTTTTTTTTTTTTGTTTTTGTTGGGTGTTTTTATGAGGTATATTGAGGAATGGGAGTTGGAAATGTTGTTTTTTTTGAAAGGATAAATTTAAAGGGGGATTGTAGGAGTAGAAAAGGTTGGAGGTTATGATTTATATGTATTATTTTAGAGAGAGGAGAAGTGAGAGGATATTAGTAGATTGGTGAGATGTAGTAAAGTTGGAAAGTTTTTTAGGATATGAAAGAGTTTTGGGTGTGTTTTGAGGTGTTATTTATGTGGGATATAGTTGAGGGTAGGTAGTGGAAGAGGAAGTATGGAGATGGGGTTATTAGATGATGGATATTATGAAGTATAAGGGAGATATTTTGGGGGGGGGAATAAGAGGTATAGGTGAAATTTTATAATTATTGTTGGGGGGAAATAGGGTTTTAAGGGGGGATTGATTAGATATATATTAGAGGAGTTGTAGGTATTTTGGAAGAATTTGGAATATTTTGGAGAGGTTTGATAGTTTAGTATGATATGATTGGTATTGGAATGTAGATATTGGAGGTTGGTTTAAATAGGGTGTAAAGTAGAGGGTTATGGATTATGTAATTGTGTGAAGTTTGGTATATTATGTTATAGTGAGAAATAAGGGTAAGAGTTGGAGTTTAAAATGAATTTTTAGTAAGTGGGAAGGAAAGGAATTGGAGCGTAAACTCACTTGCTTCATCCATCCAATCTAACAAACTTTTGGACTCGAGAAGCTCTCATGCATGTACACAATGCCCAATGTCTACTCAGCAAATTAGCTAGAATTAAGACTTCGACACGAGGCAGCAGCTTGGGAGCCTCATCGCTGTCACCGAACCTGGTTAGCGCTTGTGAGGATAACGGATGCCGAAATCGCGCTAACAGGCAGTGTCCGTTGTCCGGGAATGATCGAGCCGAGCAAATGTGGATAGGGGTAGCCCTCTATTTACGTAACTAACCTGCAATGCTGAACCCAATAAATGATTCAGGAAACCCGGGAATGTACCGTGGAGCTCCATTTGGTGTAGTTTTCCGGCTGAGAGGGAACGATCCTTGGCCGTATGGGTTGTTTATTTACCGCCCATCCATTGTCTACTCCTGAGATGGCACTGCAATGTGTTGGGCTGCGTTGAGGCAAGTCGATAAACTAGGAAGTACAGTCACATTCCTAGTCACCGGTGACTTCAACTTATCTATACCATTAGGATGCCCAGGCCACACCAGGAGAGCAATTCAAAGCAGATTCTGCAAGATCTGGTTTCAGACTTCCCGCTTTATGGCCACGTCACTACGCCCACCAGATTCAAGGGAACTAACAGGCCATTCACATTGGACCGAATATTCACTAATGAAGAACTGATGGTCGAGAGAGTGATAACCGATACTCCTCTGGGCCGCAGCGATCATACGACGCTAGTGTTTCATTACATGTGCTACGCGGATTATCCTAAAGAGCATGCAGAGGAATATCATGTCGTAACCAACTATGACGACCTGTCCGACCTCAATGATGCAACAAGCTGGTCGTTCTTAGCCGAACTGACCCCTGAGGTGGCCTGCGGAGAATTCGTCAACATATTTAACAAGCTCGTGGCAAGCACATCTGAAACCAAACTCTACCGGCCTAAAAGGATGAAGTCTTTCGTAAGGAGCAGGACACGTAAATGCATGGCATTAAGGGACTTGGCATGGCACACCTACATAGCCTCCCCGAACGACGATACCTGGGATGTCTACACAATACAAAGAAACCACTGTGTCAAACTCGTCCTGGAGGATAAACTGAAGAACCAACAAGGTCTAGTGGAAAAGTTTTGCTCCAATCCCAAACTGCTATACAGACAAGTAAACAATTTGCGCCGTGTTAAGCGCGGTATTCCTGCTCTGCACACAGCATGCGGGTTAGCCCAAACCGCACAAGAAGGCGGCCAAAGTTTCTTGGACAACAATTTGGCTGTACCTTCCAAAGCGTGCAATCATCATACATCCTGCCTAAGCAGATAATGCCACCACAGGGCTTAATCACATATCCTTTAACTCCGCAGCTGTACTGAAGTGGCTGATGTCTCTGCGCAAGTTCAGCTCCCCGGGTGCGGAAGGCATTCGCCCGAAGGCGTTAAAAGTTGCTGCCATGAGTTTGGGCCGCACACTAGAAATTTTCTAAAACATGGTTTGAACGAGTTGCATCTCCCCGCGATATGGAAGCACGGAATTATCACTCCAATCTACAACAGTGGTGGCCGTGCTGAACCAGCAAATTATCGCCCGATAACACTGCTTCCTGTGATCCTCAAGGTTATGGAGTCTATTGTAGCTGAAGCTTTGATGGGGGTAACGAGTACAACAAAATTCTCGTTTCGGAGCCAGCACGGATTTCGTCAAAATCGGTCCTGTACCGCTAATCTGTTGATTGCTCGTGCAAGCTGGACGGAATCCGTGGACTCTTGTATAGGAGTCGATGCGACCTACCTGGATTTCTCAAAGGCATTCGACCGCCTAGACCATCGCATTCAACTACACAAACTTCAAAAATGTGGAATCGGCGATCATGTTCTGGGCTGGATAGGAGACTTTCTCATGCAACGTCACTTGAATGTAAGGGTTTGAAGCAACCCATGGGAATCCATCGAAGTTCAGTGCGGTGTACCTCGGGGACCGGTAGTTGACCCCCGCCTGTTCCGGGTTTTCATCATTGATATCGCGAGCGTGTTATCTTCTAACTGCTTGCTATTTGCTGATGATCTAAAGGTTTAGCGTACTTTAGCTGCAGTGGAGGATCACACAGTCTTACAGGATGACCTGGACAAAGCGTACACATGGTCCATCGAGAACATGCTGCATTTCAACGTCACCAAGTGCAAAGTTCTCAACATACGGCACAAGATTATGCACAAGTACCGCCTAGGACCACATATTCTACAGCGGGCTTCTCACGAGTGCGATCTCGGCGTGATAGTTCAAGACGACCTCGGTTGTTCGAGGCAGACTGAAAAGGCAGCTAAGAAAGCGAACCAGTACCTCGGCCTTCTTCGCAGAGCTTTCGGGAAGTTTGACCCTTCAGTCTTTCCAAAAACGCTTAGTGTGTATGTGAGGCCGCACGCGGAATACGCTATTCAAGCTTGGCAACCCTGGTTCAGGCACCATCTCACCGCGCTCGATACTGCACAACGTAGGGCAACGAAGAGCGTTTGATCAGCCTCCCCTACTCACTCAGGCTGAAGACTCTCAAAATATACAGTGGATGTTATCGGCGTCTAAGAGGCGATCTCATTATGGTGTACCAGATCCTGGGAAACCCCAACCACCCATGCCGTTCCATTCTGATACTCAGTCCAAAAACTCAACTAAGAGGTCATCAGTTTAAGCTGATCGCGCAGTACAGCCGCTTAGATTTTCAGAGAAAGTTTTTCTCCCTTCGAGTGTCACAGTCTTGGAACACCATCGCGGAACATGTAATTACTGCACCCACCCTATCCCTTTTCAAAAAACTCCTTGACGATACTCTGTCACATTTATACTACGTGCTATAGCCCATGACCACCAGATGCTGGCACTAATGCACTATAGACAGTGGACACTGCTATAACCCTACTCGAGAATGAATCACTCCAAACCCCTTGTGCACAATTTGATAAACTATACTACTGTAGAAACTGGATTTCCGTATCCGGTCAACCTGAGATAGTTGCACACGAGTAAGCGTTGTCTATGCCATCTTTTATTTTTTCCCACCTATTACGTGATCAATAACCACTCCCCTTATGACTTTATGTGCGCGCATTCTAATTTCAAGCCCTTAATACGGCAGTGCAGTTAAATCTGTAACCGTCCGAACAGACCATTCCATTATCCCTTGATCTATCTTTTCTTACTCTAAACACCCTACGGGATATGTCAATCACCTGTTTTTTAACCGTTAGAAATCATTGTTCATTGTTCGTTGAGGGGTCTTTAGCTTAATTCGGCTGCCCAGTATAGCCTGTTGGAAAGTTACCAAAATTTATGTTGTCCGTGTTTGTCGAACATGAGAGGCTGGGCTCATCAGCGACATCTGCGTGCCTGATTTCTCGGTTGTAATCCTACTCAACTTGTACTAACTGTTATAGGCGGCGTTCATCCGAGGAGTTAACGTACGGCAAACAAAGCTGTGCACACCGATTTCTCTAGAAAACAATGATGTACATTTGCTTGGTGAACATTATAATGAGTCCACAGATGCGTGGTCTACTTCGTTGGTAAGATTCATTTTCATATATCTGACTATCACCAACGTCACCATACAGAAACGCTCAGGCGGTGTTTTTTCACCCGTGATGAACCATTATTTCATGGTCCCATTGTTCCTTAACCGTAGTTGTTGAGCGGTATTCCGGTCGCAATAGCATAACCCGCTGATGGTCAGAATTCTGACCAGTTATGATCACTAGACTATAGTAACAACAATAATATTAGTAGTAACAATATTAGTTATATTTTTGCTGTAAATGTTCTGTATACAAATAAGATACTCCTTGGGCGTTTTCTGATGCAGCGATATTTTCCAAAAAGATCGTAGATGTGAATCAGCAGCGCAAATTTACGCACTGGGATTCAGCGTTAAGGATTGCAGTTATTCAACAAATCACGGGTAATACTGCTTTTCAGCAAAGCAAATATTCCTGTTGTATTCAGATGAATCGATACCATAGATCAGTTCAGGGTTAAGAATTCTTCTCGGTAAACTCTCTTCAGACACAAACGTTTACATAACACTGCTTGTGTGGGGTAAGAGTCAAATCGGGCTGGGATTGATTACTAAGATTTTTTGAACCGCCAAGCTCAATGACCAAATGCGGCTACAGATGGCAAGACAGGTGGCAATACACAAGACTCAGCAACCTAAAATAAATAAGAAAGGTCACGAAGGGAATTAAATAACCATGTCAGTCGGCCACAGTAATATTTTCGGCGTATGAATCGTTTGTGTACACATAATTCCGGCTTCAAATGGTGGATGTAAATTGCCTCGGCAATAGACAAGATTTGCTTTCGGAAGCCTTGCAAGAAGCCTACGGGTAGATGACTTTAAAGTCATTCTCAGATGCAGTATGGCCACTTTCGAGGAGGTGCGACATGATTGAGCTATCTGAGGACCTCATTTTGCCTTTGTAAAACCGCGGCGGGATGTGCTTGCGGATCCTCTGGGATAGACGTCTCATTGTGCGACCCACGTATGGTGCACCACAGGAGCACGAGTACTGATAAACGAGCATTGAGCGGGTCAACGATGGCAGACTATCTTTCAAGGGTTTAGCAAGCAATGGCTTGTTGTGATAAACAATTCTTAAGCGGGCTGCGAAATAAGTTTTTTCAACAGCATCTTTCAGGCGTCAAGAGATATTACCGAAAAGAGTTCTTAACTCTTAACTGGTTTCTGGCCTTGATTCATCTGATTGCACGTATATTCGTTACTGACACTGAGGCACATGCAGTGGAATGAAAAGCCAGTTGGAAGACGAAAATATAGAGGAAGTAGGTGGATACGTACGCGCGAGTTTTAGATATTAAGAATAAGCGACATAAACTGAATACCTAATCTAACCCAGATTGAACAACAATAAGACGTTGCTCCGTCAGCGGGATCCTGAACAGGAATATATCGAACCGTCAATCCCTGAGGAGTTGAGTGTACTGTGGCTAGTTATCTTCCTTTCACATTGTGGAGACAGTTCCACAGATGGCTGTATTACTTCGTTTGCTACTTTGGTTATTGTTGGCAACGTTTTTGGTTTTTGTAACGCATTCGACTTGTGACTCGCCCCAAGACTCAGAAATACCACCTGCTTCATGCAACCCTGCTGTATAGATTGATCAGACAATTCAGTTGAGCTGTCGAGGAATATACCGTCAATTCATCTACTTATCTATCCGGTTCTTTACTGTTCACAATGATCGTCCCTGATTTTTCGTTGTCAACAAGGCGAGTTTATCATGGGACTGCTCAATGTACTGATTTTGTAGTCAGATTTTGACAGCCCATCACTCAGAAAGCGGGATAGCCCTAAGCCATACAGCTTGGCAATGTGTTCTCTAACATAAAGAGGACTTGGCTAGTATCTCATCACCATCCATATTCAAACGACATTCGGGTGCACTTCATCGAATTTGTTATAAAGATTAGCTTGTCAGCTTCTCGATACAGATCCACTAAGAGAAATTCGCCGTTGACGCCGTCTAAGTGCGCTTCACAGTTGTGGTGTTACTGATATACAGTGGCCTTGGGATAACGTACCCGTTCGTATGGTTGTTCTTCGTTTTATATATTCTTAACCAATGCTACTCCTACAAGCAAGGAGGGCGCAGTCGCTTGGCATATACGTGAATGGCAGTTGAGAATGGGTCGGGCTATATGGCAGTTAGACTTTCATCCATGATAATTAGCTATCATCCCCCCAAGGCTCAGTGTCAGAAACAGATTGCTTGTATGCAAGTCAGCAGGGGACAGAGGGAATAAGCACAAATGACGAGATCCAATATGGGAAAACTCAATTGCAAGTTGGTCATGGATGGACCATTCATTCAGTAAGACTGGAGGCCGCATCTCACTGCACTGAGGACGTCACCTCACATGGTGATGAATCGTTCGCAACAAAATCGCCAATCTCGGAGAAAAATTGAACACTTGAATCATCAGCCCGAGCTACCAGTATTCCGACATAGTTTAAAAGGTGAAAATCTCATCTGGTGCATTTCCGGATTAATAACACATCTTTTCGACTTGTACGACAACTGCGATGAACCAAATAAGATCGTACACAAATCCGTCTACCTATTAGTAATTCAACAATACTTTAAATCCGAAAGCGTATAACAGCGACACAACGGACTTGAAATTCTCCTTCGGAAGAATATGAGGTAAACAGTTTGAGTGGAAGGATTAAGAGAATCGACAGGCACAGTTTTCTAATTTCTGAATTCCGGATCCACTTTTGTTTATTTTCAATTTTCCTGCATTTGTAAAACATCCACAAGTAGTAAACTTTGTTGTATACCACTCTGCTACGCCTAAACTCTGGTGACTGGTCTAGCCTTACCTAATCGCGTAGCAAAATTATGCATACTTAAATATTTACTAGTTTTCTTCTTCCTTTGAAGGCCTGCTTACGTTACTCCAACAATGGGGTTTGCCTGTCCTCTTGTCCATCTCCGGTCTACTACGATAAGACGACTTTCTCATGGAAGACGAATCCACACGGTTTGGTAGCCTTCGGTTGGAAATGTGTAAAATCATGTCCAGGTTGGTAAGCAAACGTCATTGAAACCTTTGCATCAACAAATTTCGTTAGTTGGATTTTACCAGAAAGTTTGCCATGACACAGAGCTACATGTGAAGATTAGTCTTTTCTACAGTGTAACTTGAAAACTGGGCACCTGTTCATGTGAGATCACTTCAGTATTCGCTCAGTTAAAACTTGAAAGCTGTAGCATCATGTCCCCATCATCATGTTTGTAGAGTACAGAGAACTTAGTAATGGCATGCCTCTAAAGCACATGATCTTGCTACCATAACGGTTAGTGTACCATTTGGGGTAAACGTTCCAGACTCACGGATACAGATCCGGCCACTCTCCTGTGGGATACCCTTAGCTGTGCTTGGGTGGTTTGAGCTGGAAGATGCAAATACACTAGGGCCAAGTTTGATGTTACCAAGTTATTAAATGATAATCCCAAAAAGCCATTTCGTCTCCTTTATTTCGCAGCGCCATTTTTGCAAGAGTGGAACATCTGCGTTCCGAAATGCTCACAACCGGGGACGTATGCTCGTGATGGACACTGTGTCTCATGTCCGGATGGGGTCTGCCCCAAAGGTATGCACAAGCAGATAGGTGGTTTGTGGCCATGCGATGTCAAAAATATTGTTCCGTTTGGAACTGATCCATCACCTTAGCTACTAACAGTAACATCCATATACTAGAAACCAAAACAAGAAGTAAAAACGACGCTAATTTGATATTTTTCAAGTTGCCATCAGAGCACTCTCCGACTACAAATCTACCTTACGATTATACATGTGGACCATTGAACGGACAGTTATAATTAATTCTGACCAGTTGACTGGCTAGTTAGCATCTGCCTCTAGCAGTCATGGGTTCGATCCTCCTTAGAGGACCGAAGGAATGCGCGTAACTGACGAGCCCCAATAGGGCGAAACGCGTCTGGCGCTTCTCCGGACTAGGCTCTGCTATGCAACTTGTGAAGCATTGGGCTGAAAGCCTTATCCGAAGTACAACTGAAATCCTGCTACTCGTGAGTAATATATACTTAATGCTGTCAAATTCATATCCAAGAAGCATCCACTCCCCATGCCTGTGTTATTTTGGCTGATCCATCATATCCTGATATGGCTTTAAACAGAATCGCAACAAAAACTGTGCTTCCGTGGTCAACTTGTTTTGATTCTGCACATCTGAATGTGTGTGTATACAAGACAAATAGGAAGGTTAGATATTTAACAGGTTGAACACTGAAGTGACGTTACTGAAATGGTGCATTGAAAATGTTCTGCTTCTACAACAAAGGGCAATTTAGTAAACATTGCATTAAATAACTGCGGCATGCATGTATTTGTATTTATTTCTTTGTATATATTGACTACGGGCAAGGAGATTGCCCGAATCCTTTTCAACCGCCTCGTCGGTCAGGTTGTGGAACCTAACATGTCGGGAGAGCAATGTGGATTCCGTTCGGGTCGCAGCACTATAGATATGGTGTTTGCAGCTCGTCAGTTGCAGGAGAAATGCAGAGAACGACACCAGCCATTGTACTCGCTTTTTGTTGATTTCACCAAGGCATTTGATACGGTGAACCGCGAGGCATTTTAGCTGGTGTTGGGTAAGTTTGGTTGCCCGCGTAAGTTTATATGTTTAATTGAATGTCTGCACAGTGGTATGCGAACGATGGTGCAACTGAGTGGAGAGATCTTGGATGACTTTGCAGTTGTCTCTGGTGTGCAGCAAGGCTGTGTGTTAGCTCCTGCCCTGTTTAATATATATCTTCATGCAATGACGTCTTGTGCTTTTGATGCGGCTTGTGCTTACGGTGTTCATGTGGAGCACCGTATTGATGGTGGGTTGCTGAACATCCGTCGTTTCGGTGCGATAACCCTAGTCTGTGAGACAACTATCCGTATGTTGCTGTTCGCTGACGACTGTGCGTTGTTTTCACCCAGTGCGGATGAGTGGCAGCACATGACTAGTGCTCTGGCTTCGACAGAGCTAAATACGGGCTCATCCTCAACACAAGCAAAACTGTCTGTCTCTTTCAACCCTCACCGGAGGTGCAATCTTCAATATTTCCGCAAATCAGCATTGGTGCTAAAGTATTGGAAAAACCTCCCGCTTCTGCTACCTTGTGAGTGTGAGGTCGACTGATCAGCAGCTACACAGTGAGCTTCGCATCCGCGTGTCGAAGCAGCGGCGGCATTCGGGAAGCTTAAGTACCGAGTGTGGAACAACCATCAGCTTACTATTGGCACGAAACTGATGGTGTACAAATCCATGGTGCTGTCCGTCCTTCTACACGGCAGAGAAACCTGGTGTACCGGCGAGATGTGCGATATCTCGAGCGGTTCCATCAGCAGTGTCTGCGACGGATTTTGCGCATCGGCTGGGGCGACAGAGTTGCAGACACAGAAATATTGCGACAAAGTGAGACGTATACAGTGCATTGCATACTTTTACTGAGACACCTCAGGTGGCACGGTCATGTCAGCCGAACGGATACAACGCGGATACCGAAACAACTCTTATATGGTCAGCTGAGTATTGAGAAGCGGCATGTGGGGAAACCACAGTTACGTTATCAGGACATGATCAAATTGAGCCTCTCCGGTTCTAATCTTGATTGCAGGTCATGGGAATCAAAGGCGGTTGAGCGACGTGCATGCGTGATCTGATCATGAAGGTAGTTGCCGAGGTACAGGAGAAAGTCGTCATGCATGCAGAGAAGAAGCGGCAAGTGCGGAAGCGGCAAGCACCGACGGGTTGTACTCCATCGATATCGAACGCATGGTGCTGTAGCACATGCGGTCGCGAGTGCCTGAGTCATGTGCCAGGCGAGGCAATGAGCCATGGGCGAGGCCGCTCGGGACCACTACAGAAGCGATGACGGGTTCTGCCGAGAACGTAGGCAGAACCAGCGCAGCGTTTATAGGTACGCTACATTCGATTTACTAACCGCGTGCTTGCATACTAAGTCTATTTATCTCAGGTGGTGGGTTTTCAGTTTTGTCCTAATGCCTTTCTTTCTCATATAAATGTCTACCTATACTCTCTTCTATAAATCTACACACGTTACTTAAGCCAATTGTAGTTAATGTCGATAAATTTTCATGTTTGTGTCATTTCCGCAATATATACTTTCTGACCTCTGGAACTTATCTCGGATCCTTTGTTAACAACTTATTTTATATGCTCATTAATTTAAGATCTTTGTCACGTTTCCTTATGCAATACTCGATTTATTTTCTTTCTTATATTTCTCTCAAGTGATTGACTGTTGTTTGATATCCCCAGTGTGGCTGCGCTTGATGTGCATGTTGACAAGGTGCCTACCTGTCTATTACCCGCTACCTCGTCCATAATGCCTCTAGGAGACAGTTAGTCGTTGTTGGACGGGACGGAGTGCACGGGCCTTGTGACCGTGCTAGCCTCGAATAGTGGTTCCATTCACTCAGTGTAGAGCGGACTACGGTCCAGCCACCGCTTGGTGTGTAGTTGATTCCCCTAATACAGCGTGCTTGTGTTTGCCTGTGAAGGAGTGTGGGCCGGCTCCGTTGATGAAACATGGCTCCCATCCACATGCCTCCCGGTCTTATTCCTTCGGGTTTACACTGGATATGGGTATGTGGATGGGGCTGTGGGTGGTGCAGCGCAAGCCACCCATGGTTCCTGTGTAGGCGCAGGCGTCCTTTGGCTGGCCACAGTGACAGGAAAATCCGTAACCGGATGCCACCAATCATACTCTGTCATATCATAGGCTTCAAGTAGATCTCATAATGACGCATGGAATACTGCGCCTGGGCCACTTACCCATGCTGAGGCCGCTGCTGCACGCTCTCGCACCAAGCAGCACACGCGGACACCGGTACCAACTGGGAGTACCGGATTTGAAGCGTATCGCTCATCCTCTATGCCTCGAACATCGAGTGGTGAAATTATGGAATGAGTTGAACAATGAAAAATGATACATCACAGGTAAAAAAGCGATTGCTTTACAAGTCACTTTAGGATGGTTGAAGTGAAAGTAAACACCAGTGTAAATCGTCAGTTTAAGCTTCTAGTGAATTCAAGTGCCCCTTATTCATAGAAACGCTGTAGAATATGTACGGAAATTTTACTGTAGAGTAATATGGGAAGTAATATGGGTAAGGCAGGTCTTAAGAACAAGAGAAACGGCCAACGCTTACTCGTGCGCCGCTTTCTTGGACTGGGGTAAATTGATGAATGCAGTTGTAATATATCCGATACTATATTCCACAACAGCAGTGTGTAAATAGTGAAGCACAAAAGCTGAGAATGAGCACCGTTTTTTCGTGTTTGTTCAACGTGGACATCTCTGGTTATATAGCGTAATGTAGGTAGATAAGCGAATCATCCAGACGTCTTTTGAATAGCGATAGCATGGGGGAAGAAACAACGTATGTGAGAAGAGCGTTCCAGTGTTGGCACACACGAAGGGAAAAGAAATTCCGGCGGCATTCCAACCGGCTGTATTGTGTGGCCAGCTTTAGATGGTGTCCTCTGAGTGTTGTATTGCTATTCAGCTTTAGTAGGTGACGACAACAATGGTTTGGATTCCTCAGGACCATTTAAGTCATTATCAAGTCGCCACGCAGGCGTGGATATTGTCCAGTGTAGACCCCGAGGGTTTTCAGCCTCAATCGGTAAGGGAGATGAAACAGGCCCTTTACGTTCTTGGTCGCCCTTCGTTGTGGCAGTTCAAGAGCGGTAAGGTCTTGCTTCTGCCATGGCTGCCAAGCGTGGATGGCGTACTCAGAATGAGGCCGAATGTAGGCGTTCAGCATCTGGGAAAAGATTGCCGGAGACAATAGTCGATGCGAAAGCGTTGTCGGAATTTTTGTGCTTCTTCGACGCCTAGTTTGAGGGGTAGATGTATGGGGAGCATACGCACCCGGGTGAGATGTAGTGCAGTTGTAATATGCTGCCACAGCGCAGGATCAGTTACCTGATTCCGTGCACGTGCCAGATCCAACTACGAAAGAACAACAGAGATGGCTATCATCTCGCTCTATAATTTCAGTGTTCTGTATCCAGCTTGCAAAAATTGTCATTTTTATTGCATGATACCCTACGTTTTCCTCGTATTTAAGCGGGTCCGTTATGTTTTCGACCATTATACTAATTTGAAATTTCACGCAGCAGACTGGTGGAGCGCCACACAAAAGTGCTCCAAGAACAAAGCTGAGTTTAGAGAGCACACTGTGTGGTTGGGTTGCGACTCGCAACCTCTATTGAGACCTCGACTCACTTTGAGTTAAATCTCGGTCATTCTGATCTCGAGGACCGTATCCTGAATGGATATATTTGCGTGTTGCTCTTCCCAACATTGGCACACCACGACCGCGGCTTCGTCTTGGTTTAGACTCGTCAAGTGGAGATCGCCTGAGCTGGGGTGGAACTCAGAGCTTAGTAGTTCATGGCTGACGCCCGGAACACAATGCTACTGAGATCCGTGAGCAACACTTGGCACAGAGGAAAGTAATTCCACTCCAGCTCAAGCTATCTCCACCTGACGAGTCTAAACCAAGAGGAAACCGCGGTCGTGGTGTGCCATTGTTGGTTAAAGAACAGTTTATCGGCCATTGATGAATAGACTACCCGGTGGCGTTCAGCCCCTCGGAATGTGGTATTTTTGTCAGTGTGCGAGGTGAGCAAGTAACTGAACTATTTCGGGTGATTGGGGAGTTTTCGATGTAACTAATTAAAAGACCTTCGCAACAGACTGAATATCAAATAGTCCCCTACATGTTAACAAAAGCAATAGGCTGCCATTTCGCTCTAACTGGACACGTCAGATTTGCGCACTGCTGGTTCCATCAGGAACCAAACTCCTGAACGCATTAATTTGCGCCGATAAATGGCAATTTTATCAAAAAAGAATGGGGGATGGCGATGAATTGTCACGACTTCCAAGCTAATTGCCATATAACGCTGCTTATCCTTCACTCCCATGCAAGTTATGCACCTTGCATAACCCAAGGCAAGGTCAAAATTCAAGCACTGTGCATCCGACGCCTTCTGCGAGTTGCTGCGCACCTGTAGATGACATTGGATTGGGACGAGGCGATGGGGCTATGTCGCTCATCCGGTTACGAATTAAGGTGACAGCGCTGCTTTTGCCGCGGGAAGCGAATCCAAGCAGATGAGGTTAAGATTTCTTTCACAGAGACAAAGTGGGTAAATCCAGGAACAATGGTTAGCCCACACCACGTTGTGGTGTACCACATAGGGAAGGTGTTCTTTAAATCCTTTTTTAGCAATCCAAAATTGGTGTAATTAAGTTGGCAAACAATTAAAGCATTTACCTACTGAATTACTGAACTGCGTATCGTGCACACTTCGTTTTTAGTATGCACCATGAAGATGATTGAGACCAACCCAGGCATTGACTACCTACACAAGAGTTCTCTTAGGGCCATGCGAAACTGTACCGTTTTCGAAGGAAACTTGAAACTTTCCAGACAGTCCTTCGTCGGGTAAGTAGATTGGCATAATCGTATTATCAGTTTGCTTTCATAATGTTACAGGTAACTGTCATCTGTTTCAGCTTTTATAATTGCACCCACAAATCACGGTGAACTATTTAGAGAGAGAGAGAGAAACTACTGGTCCCATACGAGTCGCCGACAGTGATAGGTCCCGAACATCAATAATGTACTCGGTTGTCTAATTGCGTCAGATGCCCGTATCCATGCGCGTTTGGCTTGTGAAATTGTGATAGCTGTTGAGAAACTCTATCTAAACCGGAAAATGTAGGATAGGGACTAGTGTGAATGGTAAAGCGACACAATTGCTTTTCTTACTGTTTGCTTGCCATCTAAAGGGGTATTGCTAGTATTTAAACCACAAAATTAATCTTTCGTTACCAAATTAGAGTATATGCTTTCCAATTTGTTACAGATAAATACATAAATGAATGGTATATTCCTCGGTGATTCGAGGTGCAGTCCAACCATGTGGTCTGATCAATGTGCACAACAGGATCGCAAAAGATAATCAATTTGTTCACGCTTTTTACCATGGATCCAAAACAGGTACTAAACTAATTGGCAGGATTAAGGCATTAAAGAAATTAAAACCAGGAACAATAACGTAAGCAGATTTAAACAGATGTCCAGTTAAAGTAATACGGCCACTCGTGGAATCATCCCCAGGGGACCTGCTTCCATGCAAGATATTTCCTCGAAAGGTTTCGCTCGCACTTCCATGCAATAACTGGCCGTGTGCCGGTGTGGCATAGTAGCATATGAGCCATCCCCTGTTTATCATATGCTCGGTTCTTTTTAGAGCTGCTTTTGTACATGTATTATGGGCCATGAAGGCTCATCCCAGTCCTTCATGCGGATCATTCAATTATGGCACTTTGTATACGCCAGTCAGTTGGTGGTAATTTGCCTTGCATAGGTAAAGTCTTTTATAATCTGGAAGCTGTAATCCGTCACCACAGGAGATCAGTCTAGTCGTGGCCAACTATGAAATAAGGAAGAATATAGAAAAGAGGAATTACGTGAAAACTATATCGTTAGTGTAAAAATAGGCAGGTAGGTTTTTTACATCGGCGTAGAAATGGATCGAGCCGATCAAACGACCAAATTGTGTGGTGCGGCAACCGGAGACAGATAACTGTACGAGTTGTCCATAGGCAAAAGTCGCATAGGGAATCAGTTATTGCCATCACTGAATTCAAGTATATGTTTCTGGACTGTTAACTTCAGAAAAGAAGGGGAAATGATTAGCACTGGAGAACAAATGTAGCGAAGGGGATCGCAGAACAATATTACGAATTAATCAATTTGGGGGGAAAATTATAAAAATAGTTCCTGACGCCACACTAGTACATAAGTTTGCTCTCGGTTTTAAACAGAAGACAGTTGGTATGAATTAAGTTTGAAAGGAGTAGAACCGCATAGGTAGCATTAAAGCATAGTATCGAGTCAAATCAGGATAATAAGTTAAAATCACGGGACGAGGGGATAAGTAGCAGTAATGGCAAAGAAATGCTGTGACAGGCCATTAAAATAAAGGGTGCACTCCAGCAAAGCACGAAGATGGATGCAATCATTGAATTACTATTTCTGTTTATCCTTTAACGGCAAGGTTGGGGTCTAGCATGAATACGCACTAGAGATAATGATTGTTAGAACGATAGACAAGCGTAAGACCATGCATGGCTTTGCGCTTTCTTCTCGTCTAAGAAGTCGATAAACATAGGGTAATGTGTTATGGACGGTGGAACTGGCACCAACCCCTACTTTTGAGGTTATCATTTCGCAAGGAACACCATGTGCAGACAAAATTTTCTCAACAACCGTTAGCTTTGAATTATCGTTACACGTGTTGTGTTTTTCTCACAATTTCCATAGATGGCTTTCGAAGTAGACTCTTCGGAGATAAACTGAAAAACCAAAAAGACGATAAGTGAGGTTGAACTCAGATTACTAGTGGGAAGAGACGGTCCGCTGAGTTTTGTTGGCTCTTCTTTCAAGCGACGGGATCAAAACAAATCGTGCTACTAGGTAACTCAGTCCCTTTGCTAATTCGGATCTGTATGGACTCTAACCATCGGTACGAATTTGGGAAGAATCGGAGGGATGTTAATGGTAAAGATCTCCTTTAGGTAGTGAGAAGGAAACATCGCTCTACCTTGACACATTCAGCGAGTGGTACTGAGCTGCCGACTCCCTGCTGAGTCATTTGAGTATGCTTGCATCCTGGCTGAATAAAGCCGTGGTAGGTTGTCTGACTTTTTGCACTGCATCATCTACATACGTGCAAAAGCGCTTATTCGGGAACAGGCATTAATCTGAGTCAAGTACAAATACGGTTAATAAGTGCGTAGTTCAAAGAAAACACCAACATTCATGTGGGTTTGAAGGGTCTTTGCCAGTGTGCTTTAACGCTGCATAGTTTCGGCGACACAATCGTCCTATCTTACCACAGCCTGAGCACTAAGCAGTAGCCAACTTTACAATTGTCCTCAAGGTAAATTGGGTGTATTTGCCATGGTCTCTATCCATGCACAAGCACTGCGTATTATCATCCCGTCTCTCAACCCGAGTTTCATTAACAAATGGGTCATTTTAATGCTCAAGGGAAGATGTTTTGTAATGTTTAACGGCCACATCCCCGACAAAACAAGTGCATTTGAGTCCCCGAATGCATAATTTACTAGATCGTTATTGCCTACGAACAGGAGCGTTTACCATTTATCATACGAAAGCCAAGACTATGTGAACAATAGAATGAGTACAAAACCATGTGTATACATGACAACAGAGCTAAATAAATGAATAAATATTAGAGTAAATATAAATGATATCTACTCTGGATACTAGTGTCTACTACGTTTTGAATTAGTCCACCTTCCTACTACATAACTACCTCAGCTGAACTAAACAAACCCGGTTTGGCTGGCTCCATTTCACAAGTTTGTGTTGACCTTACTATCGCAGCGTAAAAGGTTGAAGTTGTTGAACAAGGAACTACTTCCAGTGTGATGTCATCAATGCGAGACATCCCAAGCGACACTGCTGCTTCAATGCACAAAACTAATAATTTTGATAAATGATGACACCAGTGCAACAGGAAGACGGGAGTGAGGAGAACCTAAATACCTTAAGCCCTCAAACATGGCCATGACATGTGCATCTTGACGAAAACACAAAAAACAGCGTAATGTATTGCAAAGCTAAGATAGCAATTTTGAAGATTTCACTTGCTATCGCCGCAGTCGGCTTTAATCCGATGTTTACTGAAGGCTACACATGTTTTAAAGAGTCAGTCACGCTAACAGGCAAAGGAAAACTTGCCATCGCTTTCGTCTTAAGCCACAATTTATACAGTGTCGGCCCATGCGTAGCGTTGATTGTCTGGATCAAAGCCTGAAACCTGTTTTGGACCAACAGCCAGCATGATAGTGATTTGGGTCTTCGTTTAGCTCAAACAATCCAGCGACTGTATTCCTTGAGCATTCCGCCATTCCCTATTGAGCAAACATCTCGAAGCTCCATGAGATAAGCGCGTATACTTAGCGTACACCAGAACAAAAACAAATGATTTAGTTGTATATGTTGTTTAAAACGTAATGGCCACCATACCACTGACCAATACTCGTCTGCGTACTCGATCCTGTGGACGTGCTGTTGTCGCCAAAACACGAGCGTGGCTCAGTGCTCAGCGACAATCAATGACCTCGAGGCCCCTGAGATCCTCAGGCATAATTGGCCATCTATAGTAGAGGAGAAGGACCCACAATGCGTTCTCCATAAGCACTGCCTAAGAGACATAGGAAAACCAGAACCTGAGACCAAGATGTCGCGTATTCATAACGACATCCCATACCTTCGCATTATGTTAAATTAAAAGAATTTAACTGCGTTCTCTACTTCATTCCTATTAACCTTATCCATGAGGTAGGAGACTAAATAAAATTCATTCTTTCCGTTTATAAAGCGACCCTTTCTACAACTTGACTGCAGCCGAGGAAGCAGTGCAGTGGAGTGACCTCGTAGCTGGTTTGTCAATGCTCCGTGAACTCAGTGGGGTGCTGTACATTGGCGCCGGCTCTAATGCACCCTGGCTCACCAACCTGACCTTTCTGAGCAATCTTCAGATTATCCGCGGCGGTAAGTGTGTAAGTGACGTCATCTGCGTTTCATGTTCTAAGCGAAGAGTCTCAACTTTAAGTCACCAATACTTTCCGAGTGATCAGTGTTAACAGTCAAAGTGATCAAGCGGAAAGCGAAATGTTTGTGTACCGAAGTCATTCACGATGCGAACATTTACACTACACAAGATCATTTTTATAACAGAAATGAGACAGGATGGTTCTAGTAGTACCAAGTGAGTTGATTACGAATATGCAAACCAAATGTTTGTGGTACGTCGGTTTTTTGATTAATTTCAGCTTTTCATTTGGCTAAGCAGTGCGTTCCATGGATCGAATGCTCACCTGTGATTAGTCTATTGGCTCCCTGTACTCATGGAAAAGAAGTCCTCTTGGCCATGGTATGCACCTGATACTAAAAGTCTATTGAGAGCAGTGTTTCCTTAATTGATATTTTGATCATGGCTGAAAGAAGCTACTGTGTCGATGTCCGAAATCATTTGTCTTACCTCTGTGGATCGTTTACTACAAAGTCGCAGTGCAGGCCCCTTTGTTCACTACTGAATTGTGCCTATCGTGCAATTTTCGGGATGAAACTGGGAGATCAGAATAAGAAGTGGACGCCGACTATTTTTCGTGTGTCGTGCAATCTTCACCTGACTCAGTGGCTCCACGAGGAAAATGCATGATGCCCTTTGCAATCCCCATGGTGTGGTTGGAGCCGTAGGACCACACGACAGACTGTTACTTCTGCCTAACCAGTTTCGTTGGAATCTCCAACCAAAACAAGGGCAAACTTTATTACCCCGATCTTTCATCATCTATTCGACCTGTTCCTCATGATTTCACCTTACCCATTCCATTGCCTTCAGTGAGCAGCTCACTGATGATGAATAGTGATTGGCATCGGTAACTTCCCCTGATTCTGACATTTGTAAAAACTTTGAAGTTGACGTCGTCAACTCACATCTTATTGAATAATCAGAGCTAAATGACTTGGTACGCGACCTGGGCTTGCCTAAAGACAAGGCATAGTGGGTGGCATCTCGGCTGCAGCAGTGGCACTTACTTGCTACAAACACTAAGGTAACTGTATGCAGAAAACGAAGTGTTGAATTGTCTTTCTGTTACTGTTCCGACATGGGAAGACTGATGAAGAAGCTCGGCTTGTGGCATATCAGTGATGAATGGGGTTTTTTCATTGACTTGTCCAAGAGTAGTCTTAAGTCCATACTGCTTTCCGATGGAAACGCGTACCCAAATGTGCCTCTGTTGCATGCCACCAATATGTAGGAGACTTACTCGCTGTACTGAACTCGTACAACTACTGTTGCAACATCCGTGCTGACTTCTAAGTCATTAAGACTCCCAATGGGTATGCAAGAAGGCTTCACAAATTTGACTGTTTCTTGTGCTTATGGGACAGTAAAGCAACTTAACAACAAAACATAACTGAAAACTGGCCAGAGAGGACGAAGAAGGCTGCAGGGAAAATGAGCGTAAAGCTTACAGTCCTAGTGCAACTTGATTATATCTATCTATTACCACTGCACATCAAGCTTAGTTTGATTAAAATCCTAGTCAACGCCATCCAGCGAGATGGTTTTGCGTTCCAGTATCTGAAACAAGTGTTTTCGAAGACCAGTGATGCGAAGCTCAAGGAAGGGATAGTTATTTGGCCTGATATTCGCCGGATAGTGGCAGATAGTTCTTTCGAATGCCAGTTGTCTCCATTTGGGTTAGAAGCGTGGCGATCATGCAAGGCGGTGTGGACAGGATTTTTGGGCAGAACAAAGGCAGAGACTTACAAAGACATAACAAAAGACTCACTTCCGACTATCGGGCTGCTGATGATCGAATCTCCCTCTAGCTGTACTTTTTGCATAATCACCTTTTGTTCCTGAGAAATTGGAATCTGTTAGCAATGGGAATGGTAAGCGCTTTCACCGGAAAAAGGCAGCAAGCGAAGGACGAAAAGTCGGAAGCAATTCGAAGGAATTGCAAACGCTGCAAATTCTTCATCTGCACAGTCCTGCGTAGAGACCGACACAAGAGTTCCCATGACACACATCAGGACAGAGCATTGCACGAGTGAAACGTCTGTTCAGGAACACTAAATAATGCCATGCAAATTGACTGAAATACATAAGTTAAAAAACGAGTAATGGACGGCCACCTAACGGTCGGTTTAAAAACTAACACAGAGTTGACATCCATCAACGCACTCCTAACAACAAAAGCCCTAGCTTGCATGTACACAAACGCCAAGGCCTTCTAAGCAACATGGCCGAACTTAGAGAACTCCGTCCCTCACAACCACCGGACTTCGTCAAGATTACAGAGACATGGTTAAACCCTGAGATAACCGATTCTGAAATCAATTTATCCGGTATCTCACTGCTTCGGACCGATAGAACCGGAAGGGGGGCGGTGTGATTCTTTATTATAATGCAAACCTCAGATGTGAAGTTATCGACCACCCGGAAATCCGAGCTCCAGATTCGCTTTGGTGCCGCCTATGGTTGCGAAACAAGGACACATGCCTACTAACCGTGATTTATCGCCCACCAAACTCAACTTCGGAAATGGACTCTAAACTGAACCACGTTTTCCAGTTTGCTTTGAACAAGTCCTACACCCACATTCTTTTCGCGGGAGACTTTAACGTGCATGACATAGAAACGCCGGCAACCGACGGTACGCAGTTTAAAGCCTGCTTGCAAGAGCTTATTGTTAGCCAACCTCTTTACAACCACGTAACCTCTCCCACCAGATTTCGAACTGCTAACAAGCCGTCGATACTGGATCTTTTGCTCACTAACGAAGAACTCATGGTTAGCGGGATAGTTGCAAGCACACCACTGGGTCGTAGTGATCATGGTACTCTACTATTTGACTATATTTGCTATGCGGAGTACCCTGAAAAGAAGGAGGAGAAAGTGCATACTGTCACACACTACAATGTGTTGTCTAAGCTTGTTAAGGATACATCTTGGACTTTCTTAACCGAATGCCCCCCAGATGTTGCTTGGGAAACGTTTACGAGGACGTTTAGTACACTGTTAGCGCACGCATCGGAGCAGAAGTCCTTCCAACCTAAAAACAAGCGTAATTCCTTTCTGAGGAGCAGGACACGTAAATGTATGTCCGGGAGGGATTTGGCATGGCGAGATCACCAGGACTGCCCGAATGCCGAAACCTGGACTGCATACGTGACCCATCGTAACTTCTGGGTGAAACTGATCCGCGAAGACAAGGTCACTCATTAGCAGGAGTTAATGGAGCTATTCTGCACAAACCGTAAACTTCCGCACAGGCAAGTTAACGGCCTCCGAAAAGTGAAGCGGTGGATTGCAGCACTAGTCTCAGCTGATGGGTGTACGCAATCAGCAATGGAAGCTGCTAATCTCCTACGGCTTCATTACTCCCAAACTTTCCAGCACGTAACTGGCCAAAACATTCACCTCATTTCCATTAGTGCACCGACGGGTTTAGACAAAGTCACCTTCACTGCGGAAGCTGTGTTGAAGAAGTAGTTATCCTTGGGTATCCACAGTTCTCCCGGAGCTGACAACATCCGACCAAAGGCTCTGCAGACGGTAGCTAGTAATCTAGCAGAACCACTGGCTCTTTTCTATCAGCGATGTCTAGAAGAGAACCATATTTCACCAGTATGCAAGCGAAGGTTCATCACTCCTATCCATAAAGGAGGTAGCTGCACTGATTCTGCCAACTACCGTGCAATAACACTACTTCCAGTACTATCCAAAGTGATGGAATCAATCATCGCAGATGCGGTGATGCAGCATTTGGGAAGCCGCAACTTACTAACCCCAAAGCAACATGGCTTTCGTCAAAAGTATTCGTGTAATACTACCCTATTAATTACACGTATTAGCTGAACTGAAGCAGTTGATGATGGAGTAGGAGTCGATATCATCTACCTGGACCTTACAAAAGCATTTGATCGCTTAGAATATCGAATGCTCCTTCAGAAGCTTCGGAATTACGGCATTGGCGACCCAATCCTGAGTTGGATTGGTAATTTTTTACATGAACGACGGCTAGTGGTAGAGTCCGAGAATCATTTTCTCATGCAATCGATGTGACATGTGAAGTACCACAAGGATCGTTCTTGGACCTCGTCTATTCTTGGTGTCCATTAACGATTTCGCGAGATCAATTACTTCCGATTCCCTATTTTCCTTGATGATATCAAGAAATGCGAAGGATCAGAGGACCGGACGACCACGAATGGCTCCAGTGCGATCTTAACACAGTGTCGAACTGGTCAGTTCAAAACGCCCTACCATTCAACATAGACAAATATCGCGTTGTACAATTACACCGTAGATATAACTACACCTATTTACTTGGGACAAACGAATTGCAGAATAGCTCCCAGGAACGTGATCTTGGTGTGATCGTACAGAGCGACCTCAACTATTCAAAAAAGGCTGAGGTAGCTGCGAAAAGAGGCAACCAGCACGTTGGCATGCTGTGAAGGGCATTCGGAAGATTTGATCCATCCATCTTCCCAATGATGCACAATTCATACGTAAGTCCGCATGTTGAATACGCTATCCAAGCTTGGCAACCTTGGTTGAAGCGCGACCTAGAGCTGTTAGAATCCCGACAACGAAGAGCAACAAAGAATGTGCAGGGTCTGCGCTATCACTCGTACCACCGAAGGCTGAAGTTGCCGGGAATTTTCAGCGGACGCTATCAAAGGTTGCGCGGCGATCTCATATTAGCTTATCAGATACTTAATGACCACAACAACTTATGACGCCATTTGCTGAAACTTAGCCAAGACAGGCAGCTGGGTGGTAACTGCTTAAGACTGAAGAAACAATATGGCGGTCTAGAGTGTCGACGGAATTACTTTTCCCTTAGGGTTTGTCAACCCTGGAACGCACTTCCAGCCTCAGTTGTATCCTCTCCTACCTTGGATGTTTACAAAAAACGATTAGATGTTGCTCTTAGCTCCCAACATTTTGTTACCTAAACTCCCCCATT